AACTGGCAGGGTTAAAGAAATCCGTAAAGCTAATGCAATATTTGGAAATGTATCGGTAAGATTGTTTTCATAATTATAATTTAAAACCTCAATAGGTGACATATCCTCTTTGGTAAAACGTGGCAAAGATTTTATTTCTTTGAACAAATTTAATTCTTCAATATCCTTTCCATTAACATTTTTAGTATCAATTAAGTTTTGTTCTAATCCTTTACAATGTTTTAAAATTTCATTGTCACTCCAGTTTTTTAAATTAGGTATATAGTGAAGCAATTGTAATGTTCTTTTAATTGACTGAATATTTCAGTAATTGAAGAAATAGTAGTGTCTAATATTATATTGTAAAATTTAACCTTAAATTTTTTGCCTCGGATTGTTGATTGGTTTGTTTATCTTGAAATAGTTTCTTTTTAAACCTGTTTCGACTTTGTGGAAAATCTGATCAACGATTATTCAGTTCTGATGTAAGATTTTGTAAATTGTCAGTCACGATTTGTAAATCACATTTAGAGTTTTGTATTATTTCATTTACCACATTTACTAAATTTAAAATATCGTGTCAGATGTTAATGGAACAAATGAATTTAAACAACGAAACCATCTGAATCAACTTTTTTGCTTGAGTTCTGATTCCATGTCTCTTGTTTGATCTTCTTGAATATTTATTAACGCTCTCAAATTTCCCTTCAAATCGTTTTTCTTCGATCATTGGGTTTTAAAGCCTGAATTCTACTTTCCCATCTTGTGTTGGAAAGTGGCTTTAAAGTAATATTTTCAACATACTGTTGCAAAATAGACCCACGTTTAACGGATGAAGAAAAGTAGTTGTAAAGCTCCTGCACTACTCCGAAGAAATTAACTGTTTCGAAGGAAATTTTAGCAGCATCATTTACAACTAAATTTAGACAATGGCAGAGCAGGAAATATTAGAGTGCCCTCGAATTATTTTCAATAATTTTTTGTTGCAATCCTTTATGCTTTCCTCTCATATTAGCACCATTATCATAAGATTGGTCTAGTAAATCTGATAAATTTAGTCGTAACGATTTTAAATGTCCATTTATGAATTCGAACAGACCATGTCCAATAGTGACGTCGACAGATTGAATCCTAAAAAAAAAAAAGTTCTTCGATTTGGGCTTTATCGGTTTCCTCGTTTTTATAAACAAATCGAATTGCAACAGTCAACTGTTCGGTATGACTGACATCAGGTGTAGTATCCAGAGTTAGTAAGTAATATTTTGACCGATTTAATCATATGTAATAAATACTTTTTAATTCCTGCTGAACTAATGCTTATAATTTTATTCTGAATTTGATGCCCTAAGTAATGAGCAATGTTCTTCGTTTGAGATGTTTGAATTTTGTGGAGTTGTTCAGCGATTATTGGATCAAATTTTGCTACGGTTTCAACGAACTTAAAAAAATTTCCATTATCACTATGATACAACTCTTTCGAAGAACCTCTAAATGCAAGGCATTGCCGGGCTAAATATTGAATTAAATAAATAAGTCGTTCAATAACCGTTTGCCAGTAAACACTTTCTGCATCATAAAGTCTTTGCTGAACTGCATCAGTTGTACATACATAAATTATGAAAAGACATTTTGAGCTCACTGCATTTTGAGCTATGTTTAAGGTGAGATGCACTGCTTTCATGTATTTTTAAAATGTGGGTTAAAATGTGCCCAATCATTACATCCATCCTTAAATATTACAATAACAACATTATTACTTACAATTATGGAATAGACGGCAGCGAGCGGCACGTGGCTAAATGGCAGGTCTGGAATGGCACTTGGGCCCCGAAGCAAAATTATTCTGCCCGCGAATATATGTTTCGTCCTCCTGCTCCTCCTCCTCTTGCTACGCCTCATGCTGCTGCTCTCGCCTTCTGCTCCTCTTCTTGCTGCGCCTCTTTCTGCAGCCCCTCCTCCTGCTCCTGCTCTTGCTGCTCCTCCTCCTCAGGCTGCAGGAGCAGCAGAAAACTAAAATATGCTCCTGCTCCTCCTCCACCTCAGGCTGCTCCTCCTCCTGCGAAGAGCAGCACGAGGAGGAGCAGCATGAGGAGAAGCAGCATGAGGAGGAGCAGACTGTGGAGGAGCATCCTGAAGAGGACAGCAGGAGGAGGAGCAGCATGAAGAAGAGCAGGAGGAGGAGCAGCCTGAAGAAGAGCAGGAGGAGGAGCAGGCTGAGTAGTTTACATGGAAAGCAAAAAAACTGCGTTTCGGGAATTTGAATAAATAATTTCTAAATACTTTTTCTCCATTCGGTAATGTTCTATAATAGAACGATTCTGAAAACTTTCTGCCAGAATTAGCTCTCGGAAAATGTTTGGTTATCAAGCGGGAAGGATAATTTTTAGTTAAATAATCTCTGATTTATTATAGAAATTGTATCAAGCCAGCTAGCTGGATCGTTTAAATTCAAAGCCAAAATCTTCGTTTTGAGATATTACGTTATTACCCGGCGAATTTTCTACGTCAACATTAAGTTTTCTTATTGGTACAAATCGTGGCTTCTTCTTGATCATGTTCTGATAATTTACATTTTGAGATAAATTTTCATTATGAAATTCCAAACCAGATGTTGACGGTCCTAGTTCAATTGTCTGTCCGTCTAATCCAGGGGCGTAGCTAAGGTTTTAAGCTCCCGGGAACACCTAAAGATTTTGCGCACCTTTCTGTGTTCAAAGAACGGAAAATATTTCATTCTGAAATGCGTATCACCAGTTTGGCGCCTTCTGGATGCTGCGCCCGGGGACGGATGTCCCCCCCTCCATGCTCCACCCTAACTACACAACTGGTCTAATCCTATTGTGTTTCTAATCCTATTATTTATTTAGAGATCCCACCAGTTTCTGATTAGCTTCCTCTCGTTGCAATTTCCTTTTTCCATTTTGTGCTCCAGACTTTTTTTTTTTTTTTTTTTTTTGAGAACATGTTTCTAAAAAATATTTATTGCACTAAATAAAAAAAAATTTAATTTTTATTCCATATACAAAATGCATCATATGATTTTCTCTCAATATACTATTTGAAAGTCGAAAGCGCATTTATGTCATTTGCTACTAAATAAAGATTCAGATAAAGAAACTAATTTGACTGAAAATTTAGAAGCAATTGTTTTTTCGGAAAATTAATTTCTAAAAATTTAGTGTAAAATTTTTTCTTCTTTCTGCTGATTCAAAATATTTAAGTAAATTAAACCAATATTAATACAAATTACTAAAAAGCATTTGTTATAAGCGACTGAAATATTGAAACCATTTCAGGTACTATTAATGAAAAAAATTCTAAAAAAATTACTAATGATTATAGGACTTTTTCATTAATTATAAACTATTAATGAAAAAGTGCTATAATCATTAGTACTTTTTTTAGAATTTTTTTTCGATTATTTGGAAATTGTAATTGTATATCAGAAATAGATAAATAAAATTCTGCCCAGTTAAGGGTAAGATTTATTTGAGTTTTATAGAGGTAAATAAAAAGTTGCTTTTTGAATTATTTTGTTAATTTGAAAGATAAAAGTTTTTCTTAATGAAGTGTTTCTTTTTATGAATCTTTACAATATTAATAATATATTTAGTTAAGACACAGTAACACGCCGAACAAATACTAATTCAGAAGTCAAACAACAAAAATCAGCGTTATATTTTCAAATTTTCACAGTACTAGTTTCGATGGTTTTATCGAAACACCATCCTCAGCTGCAAAAGCGAAAATGAACGAGATAGGATATAATGATCAGATAAGATAAGAAAGCCTGAATAGAAAATAAGCTAGTGGCGCCATCTGTTGATGAAACTAGAACTAAAACATAATTAATTCATTAACTTCCATTGGAGAACTGGATTTTCTAGACGCATTTCACATTCAAAAAAATCTTTCTGTTCTAGTTAACGATCTTAATTCCAATCCAACTTTGTCTTCGGTCTTTAAAGAAATTATGCTTTAGTTCTGGTTTCATTAACAGATGGCGCCACTAGCTTATTTTCTGTCCAGGCTTTCTTATCTTATCTGATCATCATATACTAATAAATAATATAGATAAACTAATAATGGTTATAAAAAGGTAAAAATAAAGTTGTGTCAGGAGGAGTGCGTCCAAGAGCAGGCAGATAAACCTCCAGCTCAGCAGCAACAGGAAAAAAAAACCTTAACAAACTCTCTGATGCGAAGTTACAATCTAAATCCTTTCAGACTTTTTTCTTTTTCCTTTTTTTAATAATACGTTCTTGTTTTGAGTGCTGTGTTATTTTACATAAACAAATAAACGTGTCTACAAATTCACTTGCTTCAAAGCATAGTTAAAATATTAAGTGTAAGTTTTTATTAAATATAACACATTTTACTCTCCTTTCCTGCAGTTTTAACTGCAGTCGCGATAACCATCAGTGGAGTAAACTACGAGTATGTTTCATTAAATCTTCAATTCCTGTAGCTGCTTTTATATTACCAGTCATGATAAGGATGTCAGACATTTTCGTTTCGAAAACAGCAGTCAACCTAGCAGGTATGTTGTTGTTCCAAGGCGAAAATATTTCAAACACATGACATCAACTGCCACCAAAAGAATATCTCTCAAAAATTTTAAGTTAAAAATTATTGATTATAACAAAAATAACCTTAAGAACCCTCTTCTCCAAAGACAGATGCGATCATTTAAATGTTACAGCATTATATTTACTATTTTAACATTTACAATTATGGAATGGCGGGCCGCAGGGGCACGTGGCAAAATGGCTGGTCTCGAATGGCACGTGGACCCCCGAAGCAAAATTATTCTGCCCAGGAATATATGCTTTGTCGAATATATGTTGGCGAAAATATTTCAAACACGGGACATCAGTTGCCACCAGAAAAAAATTCTTTCAAATGTTAAGTTAAAAATATTGAACATAATAAAAGTAACCTTAAGAACCCTCTTCTCCAAAGCCAGATATTTATCATTTAAGTATTACAATATTATCATTTACAATATTACAAATATTACATTAATATTTGGAATTATGGAATGGAAGGGCCGCGGGCGGTACGTGGCAAAAGGGCAGGTCTCCTGTTTCGTCCTCCTGCTCCTCCTCTCCCTGCTGCTCCTCACCCTGCTGCTCCTCCCCTTGCTGCTCCTTCCCTTGCTGCTCCTCCTCCTGCTGCTCCTCCTCAGCCTGCTCCTCCTCAGGCTGTTCCTCCTCAGCCTGACCCTCTTCAAGCTGCTCCTTCTCAGGTCGCTGCTCCTCCTCAGACTGTTCCTCCTCAGCCTGCTCCTCATCCTGCAACTCCTCCTCAAGCTGCTCCTCCTCAGCCTGCTCCTCCTCCTCTTGCAGCTCCTCCTCCTCAAGCAGCTCCTCATCAGGCTGAACCTCCTCAGCCTGCTCCTCCTCAGGTTGCTCTTCCTCCGGCTGCTCCTCCTCCTGCTGCTCCTCCTCAGCCTGCTCCTCCTTCTGCAGCTCCTTCTCAGGCTGCTTTTCCTCAGGTTGCTCCTCCTCCTGCTGCTCCTCCTCAGGCAGCTCCTCCTCCTGCTCCTCCTCCTGCTCCTCCTCTTGCGGCTCCTTCTCAGGCAGCTCCTCCTCAGGCTGCTCCTCCTCCTGCAGCTCCTCCTCAGACTGATCCTTCTCCTGCTGCTCCTTCTCAGGCTGCTCCAGCAGTCTGAGGAGGAGCAGCAGGAGGAGGAGCTGCCTGAGGAGGAGCAGCAGGAGGGGAAGCCGCAGGAGGAGGAGCAGCCTGAGGAGGAGCAACCTGAGAAGGAGCAGGCTGAGGAGGAGCAGCCTGAGCGTGAATTATTCATGAGTAATCGTACGGTATCATTGTATTGAATTATTTATTTGTATAGTATTTTCAATGTGCAAGTAAAATTTTACTGTACATATCTTATTATTGAATTGCTCGCTAGTAATATGTAACATCATTTCAGTAATAAGCACCTATAGGAAAAAATTATTATTTTGATGTCAACATGGCAGATATGATTAATAACATGAATAGTATTATCATTAATTTAAGTAATGGTATTGAATTATTGTATATTTACAGTAATCATTTTTTAATATTTGCATATAATCATTGTTTTGAATCATTGTATTTTAGAAATTGTATAGAATTAATGTTTTTATAGTGTATTTTTAGTCTTATTGCAATTATTCTTTTAACTCTATTAATATCCAATTTTAATATAATAACTGTATCTTTAGTAGTAAGCTGTAACATAAAAGTTAACAATGACATTCAGAATAACTAGAGACTTACGTGAGATCTGAGCATTTTCATACTTCTCCATTATAAATTTAAGTTGGCAATATATGAAATATAAGCATTTGTATGTTCTTCGGTTTTTGTATACTGAGTTTAAATGTTGAATTTTGCATTAGTAAATTCATGTTGACAATGTCGTCACTTATCAATCACAACAGTATAATATAATCATTATGTATGATATATCTTCTTTATGTATTGAATTGTAAACTTTATATATAACTTGCTAAAATTACTTGCTAAAATATTGAACTGCAATCTTATGTGTCACTTGCTAAAGTTATGTTCGTAACTCATAAGTACTGTGTTCACACAGATGTAACCATTTTTAATATCTATGTCTTGTAACACTAATCAATGTGCCCTATGAGTGGATCCTAACATGGGTCAGCTTTAGATAAGGGTGGACGTGGTGCTAAACCAATTAACCGTAATAGTAAAGGGTTGGTGCCCACGTCCTCCGTCACTAAACTAAACTAAGGTTATTTTTGTTATAATCAATAATTTTTAACTTAAAATTTTTGAGAGAATATTCATTTGGTGGCAGTTGATGTCATGTGTTTGAAATATTTTCGCCTTGGAACAACAACATACCTGCTAGGTTGACTGCTGTTTTCGAAACGAAAATGTCTGACATCCTTATCATGACTGGTAATATAAAAGCAGCTACAGGAATTGAAGATTTCATGAAACACACTCGTAGTTTAGTCCGCTGACGGTTATCGCGACTGCAGTTAAAATTGCAGGAAAAGAGAGTAAAATGTGTTATATTTAATAAAAACTGACACTTAATATTTTATGTGTTTTGAAGCAAGTTAATTTGTAGACAAGTTTATTTGGGTATGTAAAATAACACAGCACTCAAAACAAGAACGTACTATTAAAAAAAGGAAAAAGTCTGAAAGGATTTAGATTGTAACTTCGCATCAGAGAGTTTGTTAAGGTTTTCTTCCTGTTGCCGCTGAGCTCGCGGTTTATCTGCCTGCTCTTGGACGCACTCCTCCTGATACAACTTTATTTTTACCTTTTTATAACCATTATTAGTTTATTGATATTATTTTTATTTAAGAAAAGAAATGCGAACCTCACTTGTTCCACCAGGTAGGTCACGAGGCTTGCAGAAGTAAGGAAATAGTTCAGAAATATATAAGAGCTACACTGACTACCAATAAGTATTTGGACACCTGTGATAAAAAAGAAAAACTAACTTTATTCAAAATCAATAGTTGGTAGAGCCTCCACGAGAGGTAATTACAGCGTGGACCCTCTGGGGCATACTTTCCACAAGTCTTTGTATGACAGCTAGTGGTATTTTCTTCCACTCGGCTTGGAGAAGACATAGAAGTTCCTTCACCGAATTTTGCACGGGTAGTGCACACCTGAAATTCGGCGATGCAAACTCGTCCAGAGGTTCTCGATAGGGTTCAGGTCTGGACTCTGGGCAGGCCAGTCCATTCGATGAACTCCATTGGCACCATACCAAGCCTTGGTTAACGTCGAAACATGACAACTGGCACTGTCGTCCTGAAAGTAATAGGGATCCAACCTGTAAAACTGCCACAACGTAGGAAGCACATTGTCATCTAAAATAGTGCAGTAGGCATCGGAGTTGAGCTTACCATGAATGGAGATCAAGGGTCCCAGCCCATACCAGGAGAAACACCCCCAGACCATAATTCCACCTCCGCCCAACTTGACTGTTGGAACAATGCATTCTGGCAGGAGACGTTCTCCAGGTAGACGTCAGACCCAGACCCTGCCATCCGAACAGTAAAGGGTGAACCTTGATTCGTCACTCCAAAGAACCTGTTTCCACTGATGTACGTTCCAATTTCGATGTGCTTTGCACCACATTAACCGAGCAGCGCGATTGGACTTTGTGATCAAAGGCTTATGGGCAGCAGCATGACCATGAAAACCAAGCAGATGTGCTTCCTTACAGATGGTATTCATTGAAACAGTACTCCCGTATGACTGTTGAAACTCCTCGCGGATGAGGGCCATCGGTTGGGTGCGGTTCTTCCGAAATTCTCTGGACAGCACTCGTCGGTCTCTATCTCCCAGTTTCGCTGGTCTGCCGACTCGGGGCACATTCTGACAATCACCGCTCACCTTCCACTTCTTAATCACATAGGGCACTGTCGATTTTGGGTACTTCAGATCGCTAGATATGTCCCTTAAGGATCGGCCACATTTGTGATACCCGATAATTATACCTTTCTCGAAATCAGAGAGCTCCGAACTGCGAGGCATCTTGCATGCGACTAAAGCCGATGCTGTTTCCTTCACGACATATACCTGCGGAGTCCGTGACGTACCTTAGGACCGCAGATATCGTCATTTGCATAGGTGTCCAAATACTTATTGGTAGTCAGTGTATAATACAGATGAAGAAGACAACACAATAATATATGACACTCAGATCTGGAGAGAATAACGAATATGTTGTTCCGGATTTTGTATTTGGTTAGCAATTTTTAGTAGAAATGTAATTAAAGTCGTTTTATTTCCCCGTGTAACCCAGCGCGTGACGAGTTTTAAGAGGAGCTAAGCAGAAAAAGTAAAAATACTGGAGCACGCGCATTTAATAATAGATATCTGGTAATTGACGAGTATATAAAAAGTGAATAAATGTAATTGAGTACTGTGTTAGCTGTGACCGTAATTCTAATCTTTTGCTTTCCAAAAAATCTCGAGAAAACGAAAATTACCAGAACCTTTTTGTGCATGATTAAGAAGTTTTAAAATGCCGGAGTGAAACATGTCAGTTCATTTGTTTACATAACTGTTTTGTTGACTGTAGCGAATTTGCAGTAAGATCGAATTAGCTTTCTCTCAGCTTTGGAATTAGTTTTGTTTGATGTTTTAGTAGTTTAAAATGTAACTATGCGTGATATTGTACGCATATCTAAGAGGAAAAATCCAGCATTGTGTTTTATTTCTTGTTATAAGAATAAAATTCTTCTGTGCCAGATGCCCTTGTGCGGTGAACAATTTTGCCACCCGCACGCGGCGGCCCTGAGAATGTGATTTTGGCGATACTTCAGAAGAGAAATGCATTCGAATACGTTTTGCAAAAGTTTTTTAACCGCAAAAGTTTTACACAGAAAGAACAGCTTGTGATAGAATTTTGGAATTGCTAATGCGGACTGTATTTCGTTCACGAGAAAATGGCATTCCAATTATTAAAAAGAACAGCAGAAAATGGACAACGAATTTTCTAATGTCGGTTCGAGTGTTTACCTTGAAATTCAGTTGGATCATTTTCGGAGGGGGGGGAATGTAACAAATTTATAATACGGCGTAAAAACATTGTAATAATTCTGAGGAAATGGGGAGGGAACATTTGCAAAGAAATATTTTAGTGAAGGAAAGATAAATTTTTAATGTTACATTAAGATATGAATATTAAATTATTAATGTAATAATGATTAATGATAAATTATTAATGTTATATTGATGAAATAATTTAGTTTATTTGGTTGTGGTAAAGTATGCTAGGCCTATCTGCCTGCTGGGAGAGATACCTTCACAGAAGACGTTTTAAGGAAAAATGGCTTGTGTTCACATTACACATGGGGTGGTGTGGTGTATTTAATTATGGCAAAGCACACTAGGGCTATCTGCCTAAGGTTAGGAAATCCTTCGTGGATGACTTTCTAAGGGAAACTGGCTCGTATACACGTTACACATGGGGAAAACCACGAAAACACCCATGCAGCCAGCCCGTTCGCGGGATTCGAACCTCGGACCGAACTATCAGTGTTCAGCGACTTTACCGCTCGGCCGCTGGTGGACCATTACCTAGACCCCTTTTCATGGAATCGATGCTTTGATATACTTTGGTACTATTCTTATTATTCTGGCATTCAGCGGGGAATTCCTATCCCTGCTCAATGGAATCGAACCTAGGTCGAACTACCAATGTTCAGCAGTTTTACCGCTCGTCTGCTGCTTATGGCCATCGGTGAATTAAGAATCGTTAATTTTTAGTCCTAAGGGGCTTGTTCCTGAAGGACTATTGTTTTTGTTTTGCGATCTTGCGTCGAATCACTCTCAATGTCCATTTCACTTTTCAAACTGTTGCCATCCAATATTATCGCCCTGTATTATATTTGAAGAAATTAAATAATGAAGAATCTGCATAAACGTATCGATGTTTCTCGCATTGTGATGAAACGACGGTACCTAGAGCTATCCAATATTTTGAATGACGATTTAATACTTCGGATATGGGCATCTGGAATCCCAAATTCGAAATTTGTTTTATTATCGATTTCATATTTTGTAAAATTTTAACGAATTTTTTATTAACAAATTCAACAATTTCGACGCGACCCATGGCAACACTGTACGAATAAAAAAGGATTTTTATTATCTCCAGCGCGCGAGAGTGTGTATCGGAAATTCTAAAGATATGCTGTTTTTAAATATTTTGTGATATTGTTGAATTGAATTTTATGTGTTTTAAATGCGAAGAACATTGTATTTGATAAATAAAGGTAACAAACAAAACGTTAGAAAAACGCCCCTTTGGGTGTAATTTAAAATCTGAAACCCTTCAAATTTTTTTAACTATGTTTTCATTTTATTTTTTATATAGTTATTTATTTTTAAAATGACTAAAATTAACTTTTCATAGATTACCTTGAGAAAAAAATCTGGTCATATTTTTTAAAAGTGACTAGAGGTTCGTCTTTTTTACTGAAGGAAAACTACCGTACGAACAAATAGTTCGTTCGTTCGCCGCCGACCAGGCTTCCGTCCTCTAAGGTGAAATCAATCGCAATTAATACCTGATCAGCGGTGGTAAAATCTATTTGTACAACCAGCAGCCACCATAACTAGGGGGACTGCCAGATCAGCGACGCTTATTTTGTATCAGCCAAAGTACATTGTTACAAAAATTAAAGAATATGTATCAGTCTATGCACTTTGTGCGACATATGTACAAATGATATATTACATAATCAAAATTTGCATACGAGAGCTAAGCAGTTACAACTGCTGCCTTCAACCATATATTTATAAAAAATCTGATGTGTACACCACATGACTTTCTTGTACGGAATATTAAATTATACGCATTTTTAATTGCATTTCATTTAAACTTATTGGATTGAATTAAATCTACTTTGTCGATAGCGCATAAACCACAATAGAATAAATGCACTCTTTATAATTCACTATATTTGTTTACCATAGCGACACTCTGGCGCTAGGTTCACTTAACAGTGTTATATTTCGTTCATATTATAACCTTTACCTTTACCTTCATTCGCATTTGGTACCAACTACTATGAATTATCACCAATAGATCAATTATGCCTTAGGCCTTTCACCTTTGTATCAAAAAGAAGATGTACTATTGGTACATGTATCACCCAGAGGCGTAGAATGCATTCAAAAACTCTATGGTTTGGAGTAAACTCTATGGTTTGGTTTGGAGTAAGTAAAAAAAGAAACAGTATTTCAGAGACGATTCAATACTTCTCATTCAATTAATTCAGTTCCTCCTAAGAAATTACCTCTTAGTTTTTAGCCCAAAAGGACAATTTCGTTTTCGCAATTTGCATTGGTTCACTATAAAACAACGTTTCCCTTTTCCGGCCACCAAATATTACAGCCCTGCATTATATTTCAACAATTAAATAATGAAGAATCTGCATGGATATACGTATGTTTTTCGCATTCTGAAAAATAGCGGTTCGTAGAGACTTTAAATTTTGAGTAACGTAGTCCTCCACTCGAATATGCGCATCTGGAAGCTCTCATTTGGAATTTGTTCCATTATCTATTTCATATTGTGTAAAACTTTAACGAATTATTAATTAAAAAATCCAACGAATTCAAAGCCAGCAATAGCAACAGTAAGAAAAAGTGAAACATTTTTATCTCCAACGCTCAAGACAGTGTATTGCAAATTCTTAAGAAACGCTGTTTTTAAATGTTTTGTGATGTAGCTATTGAATTGAATTTTAAGTGCGAAGAACACAATATTTAACAAATAACGGTAACACAAAAAATAGTTAAAAAACGCCCCTTTGGGTATAATATAGGATCTGAAAGCTTTCAAATTTTTTATATTATTAATAATTTTGCATTTGTGTAATATTTCACTTTGCAGTTTGAGGTATGCTTCATGCTTGTCGAAATGAGAACATATGAGGTAGATCTAACTTTTGTCATTATTAGTTCAAAGACGCACTTTTTTAAAAAGGCCTATTAATTTTCCTTTGGCATTTTGCGTCGATTCACTATAAACGTCGGTTCACTTTTCAAATTGTTACCACCAAATATTACAGCCCTGTATTCTATTTAAAGAAATTAAATAGTGAAGAATCTGCATGAATGTATGTATGTTTCTCCCATTGTAATAAAACAACGGTACCTAGAGCGATTCGGTTTTGAATAACGTACGTTTCCACCCGAATATGGGCATTTGGAAGCCCGGATTTGAAATTTATTGTCGATTTCCTATTTTGTAATATTTAACGAATTTTTGTTTAACAAATTCAATGATTTCAAAGCGAGCAATTGCAAAACTGTACGAAAAAAAAAAAAAAAAAAAAAAAAAAAAAAAAAAAAAAAAAAAAAAAAAAAAACAAAAAAAAAAAAAAAAAAAAAAAAAAAAAAAAAAAAAACATTTTATTCTAGCGCGCAAGAATCTGTATCGAATTCTAAGGTATGCTTATTTAAATTAATTGCGGATATTCGTGTTAAATTTTATAGTTGAGTACGTAGACATGATATTAATAATAAGGTAACCAAAAAAGTTTGAAAAAGGCCCTTTAGACGCTATTTAAATCTGAACTTTTTTTTGTTTTTTTTTTTTGTTTCTTTTTCTTTTTTTTTTTTTTTTTTTTTTCTTTTTTTTTTTTTTTTTTTTGTGTGTGTGCGTGTGTCTTTTGAAAATATATCATCCCACAAAATGTGATAGGCAAGCAATCGAGACCAAGGGATTGTGACCATCACAGGTACTGAACACTTTTTCCATAACCACTTCAGAGGTTGCCTGCGCATACACAGTAATGATTTCTTGCGTGAGGACTATCTTTTTGTACCGTTTCCCTTTTCGTAATTTAAACTTTGAATTATTCCATCAATATATTTTACTTCGTTCCTTTCATGTATAACAAGAATGTTTTCATGAAAACGAACTAAAACACAGCACTAAAAGTTAAAATAATTGGCCGTCTATTAGGCGTCCCCATAGTAAAATGACCGGCCTTTGGAGTGGCGAAAACAAAAAATTGGCTAGTGCTATTTAAAAAATAGCTCTTAAAAATAGCTAGTAAATAGTAGTAATTAATAGCTAGTAAAAATGGCTATTTTAAAAAAATAAATGAATGAAGAGAGAGAAAGAGGGAGGGGGAGAAAAGAAAGAATTCCCCGCAGTGTTTAAATAAACTTTAGTAATTTTTAATTTGCTTGCAAGCCATTATTGTGTAGTTCAGCTGTACAAATCTTTATGTTATTTAAATAGTAGTCAACGCCTAATGTCTGCTATTGGAAATTAAAAAAAAATAGACCATCCAGATTGTTTGTAAATAAAAAAGGTACCCTAACTGTATGCTTGTAAAAGAGTAGTAAATTGAAAATTAATTAAACTTCATACATAATTCATGTTAAATTAATCTGCATCAGCATTTCGTACATGAAAGCAGGCATAGCCTCGCAAGGCTTATAAATGTTTACATTACGGATGGCCGAAAAAAGAAAGAAATTTATTTAATATAAAAAGCAGTTAATATCGTATTTGAGTGGCAACGGTGGCGACCGAAGCAGAAATCAGTTTTCATTCTGTTAACTGTCAAACGGTATGTAAATAAATTATTTCAAATTTTAATATTTGCGTATTGTAATTGAATATTTAGATTAAAATGAGTTATGTATGTAATCTTAAATAACTGTATATGTGTAAAATTAGAGCAATATCGCATTCTGTAATCAAAAATATAAAATTTTATGTACACTTAACTGGAAGTAATTGTGTGGTTAAAACGATGAAGAATTTGTAAATGTGAATTGTTCGTACCGAAACAATTAACAAGTTATTATTTTGCGGTTAAGCAACATTTGATTCGTTTCCTTTGCGTAATGTTATTTATAGATTCTTTTGCGTTTTTCCGCATATGTTCATGAAAGTACTGTAAAGGCCCTTATTTTCGCGGGCCGTAATTTTCGCGAAAATGAATATATCGGTGATATCGCGAGTTGAAAATTTCGCAAATTTTATATGAACAGAACCGAAAGTTGATAAATTTCAAAAGTACCTAAGTAAAGTTGAGAAAGTTGAAAAATTCGATTGAATTGTTCGACGTTTTTAACCAATTACACCAAGATCCTCTTTTTCTGACTGAACTAGAGAAGAGGAATATCATTCCAGTTTTTGTGCCCAATTCCTTCACAAGAGAGCTCCAACCTTTGGACTTAACTATAAATGGTGAGTTTAAGCGTTTGCTCAAGAATGAGTTTATTGAGTGGCATTCTAATGAGTTTCAGTTTCTAGAGGATAAAGAATCTGTGGACTTGCGAATATTACGACTAAAACCAATTCACGCTTCTTGGTTTGTGCGCATATTTAACGGTATTGAAGCCAAATATGAGATAATTTTGAATGGCTTCAAAGAAGCTGGTATAAATAATATTCTAAGTGAATGAGCTGCCTTCTGTTAATTTTATTGTTTTATATTAGAGAAATATAGTTGTATATTATTCAAAAAATAGTTATAAGAAAGAAAGTTGTCAAGAAAAAGCTTGTAACTGTGCAATAAATCATTAAATTTTGGGTAAGTGAAAAATTGCTGATTTTTTATTATTATTTGAGGCGGAAAAAAAAAAAAAGTATTTCGCAAGGCCTAAATTTTTGCGATTACGATGGGCTCATGAAAATTACGAAAATTAAAGCCTTGGGAAAATAAGGGCCTTTAAGTGTATATAATTTAGATTTTGATCATCTTTAATGATATTAATGAATATCTTCGCGTAATTCAATGCAAATATACTGGGACCTTGTACCTTGTACTCGTACCTTGTTTTTTAATGGTTATTAGTCATATTAGACAATCTAGTGTAAAATAAATTGAGCGTTATGTATTAAAATTTTAGGAAATATTTTATGTAGACTTTGTATATCATCTAACGTGATATAGACTTTATATAATCATTTGTTGTTAAGAAATAAAAAACATTTTGTTATATGTTTCCAACTGATATAAAAGCACTTGAAGAACATGTAAAAAAGGAAAATTTGGAACTACTCTTATATACCCCTCACTTGGCGGCAAATTTCTTGCCAAATATTTTTGGCGAGAAACTGCATGGTGCCCTATTGCTATCTAAATTTTTAGTCTACATTTTGAACATTAAGCCTGAAATGTCTCCAAAAACACAATTTAAGCTAAAAATCCGAAACAAAAACAAAAAATTTAGATAGCGAAACGTGAAATTTCTAACCAAAAATATTTGACAAGAATCCATGTACACAGCCGATATGTTTTAACTTGAAAAAAAATCACAGAATTGCACAATCTATGCAGTGAAGGAATCTACACACTCCTAGCTTAAATAAATTAACATTGTAACAATAAATTTCAAAGAATGCCATGTACACAGCATTCTGTTTAAACTTTAAAAAACATCTACGAATTGCACAATCTAGGCATTGTGCACTAATCAACAAAATAAACTAAAATAACTAAAATAAATTTTGAACAGTTAAAAAAACAACAATGACAGAAATTCATACTAAAAAAACAATGAACATTCTACAAAATAATAATAATAATAAAATAAAATGCACTTACCATAATGGATGTTTTTTCGAATAGTAGAACATAGCTTTAACATGCCGCCACGTACTCATTATGGTATTTATATGACAACCAGACTCGCTATCCACAAAATTCATACTATGGTTCACAAATAAATGTTCAAAACCTTCTTTTCCTAAATCCTTGTAAGATTTCCAGCCATCTGAAAAAATAGTTGTACAAGGCTCAATCCACTCTTTAATACAATGCATCACAAATTTGTTAAAGGCATCTTCTCCCATTTCAGAACAATGATGGAAAAATATATAAACCAGGAAATAAAATTCAAAATTGCATTTCTGATTATAAGTAGGCAACGAAGCTTTAACATGCTGCCACATAATCTCTATCGTATTTATGTAACAGCTAGACTCACTATCCTCAAAACTGATATCTTTTACAAATAAATGTTCAAAACTTTTTTCTCCTAAATACTTGTAGAATTTCCAGCCACCCGAAGAAATAGTTTACCAGGCATGCAACTAAAATTTTATCAACTGTAAAATCTGAGTTTCCATATAAAAAGGGTTGCCATAGAAACCAACATTGTCCCCAAAACCATCGTGCCAAAAACCAGTGCACAACAGATATCGCCGCTTTTGGCGACCTAAGGGCACATATAAGAGTACTGAAAATTTGATTATTTTATTCCAGGACTGTCATTTTGAAAGAAAACAAATTGTAAGGTATATTTCAAACAGGAAGTGTTTGTGTATAAATCAGTTTAGCTATTTAGGGTCATCTCCAAATACAGATATTAAGTGAAAATTTACATGCATGTTTATGTATTGTTATTGATTGAATACATATAGCTGTAAAAAATGTCTAATTGTTAAGTAAAAAGATTTTTATTAATTTTGACTTAAAATTAAATTTTGAATTAAAAAAGCAATTTATAGGTATGCTATGTATTGCTTTTTAAATATGTTTTATTTTCAGAAATAACAAAGGAAGACTTACATATTTATTTTTTAAATTGCAAATGATGTAGTGCACATTGTTAAATTTTCATTGGAGTATATTAAACTAAATATATAGTAATAGTTTTTTATGTGTGCTAAATTAGATATGTGTGTGTGTAAAATATTAAATTTTTTAGCAAAGTCCATGCATTATATTAAATTTGATGTAATTTTTTTGTACCATATGGATCTTCCAGTTGTGCGTCCTTAAAATAAAGGATTCGGAGAACAAGCAGATATCTCGTATTTTGTAGATACTTTACTCATTCTAACTTATAAGATACTGTGATTATTTTATGTAGTGAAGGAGCTATTTTGTGGAGTAATTGAGATTACAAATATTACAAAGAATTTTCATTTAGAAACTAAAGTAGCATACTTTAGTTTCTACTTAAGTATGCTACTTTAGTTTCTAAAGTTTATTATTTTCTAAAGTTTATTCTGATATTATTAATATATTAGAACACAGTGTTGCAGCTCTGCACAATCCAACCAACACACAACCAAATCATCATTCATCGTAATGGATTTGCCCACTGTTTTAGCTGAAAGTACCTACTCATGATTGTTAATAATGCTTATAAAAGCAAAAATGTCCCAAACTGATTCAGCAAGATACTACCTAAAATTAATTTAATAGTGGATATGGTCATGTTTAACATTAAGTATGCTACTTTAGAATTAATTAACTGAATTAATTTTAACTGAATTAATTTACAAAATTAATTCAGTTAAGTAACAGAAACATATTTTAACAGAATCATATTTGCTTAATGCAGTATTTCTTAAAATATGGGGTCATGAAAATTCAATTCGATAGTTGAATTTAACTCTTTGAAGACCGTATCAGTACAGATGGCTTTTCATTCAAAGAATCCCAAATGCCCAAAGTATTCAGTAGCAGGTTTAGTTTTCCCAAATGCATTTTATCAGTTTATTACAGACAGCTTGTCCTAAAAGGATTTATTTGTGGTTGCTTATCTTTATTTGTTAGAAGTATAGAGGATGTCATTTGAAATATTCTTTTTTCTTTGTGGATGGGGAGAGGAGGAAATAGCTATGACTCTCAAAAACCATTTCGGGCGGTTTGGTATTTTAAGGTACAGATTAGTGAAGCCTTTGGTTTTTTAATGAGTTAAAGAAACTGCATTCAATTAAGACTTAAAGAAATTACATTAATTGACATTAATGAGATTAGACATATAAAGACATTACATTAAGTGATATTAATGAGATTAACTACCTGTTATATAAAGTGCAAAAGGACTTTATAAAAGCAATTCAAATCTAAAACTTGAATTTTCAGAAAAATCCTTGATGAATTCTGGATTGGAGTTAGAACTAGATGTCGCACTATTTCTGAAATGGCATTAAATGTTCTTCTCTCATTCAGCACCACATATTTTTATAAAACTACCTTTTCTGCTTCAAAGCTAACTGAAACCAAATATCCTTCAGTGTTGAAACTTGTCGAAGATGCTGTATGTCTAGCAATGTTAAATATTGCACCAACTTTTGTTATGCAGCAGAAAACGAGCACATCTGTCTTATTAGAATTTTTTTAAAATATTGTTCTTATAATATTGTTTACTGAAGAAGTAAGTTATTTATGGGAAGATATTTATTTTTACATATTTGTTTAATATCTGGGGTCAAGAAAAAAAATATCTCTGTGATAAAAAGACGTCACGATTGAAAAAATGTTTGATGCCCTGGCTTAACAGAATTGTATTTCGTTAATTTTTTAGTTGATGTTGTTGCTATCAGGATCTGTATACAATGAAGGCAGTTAACTATACTCGCTTTTGAAAGCTAAATTCGACTGTAGATTATTAATTTGATTATCAACTTGTTGATATTATTAATATATTAGAACACAGTGTTGCAGCTCTGCACAATCCAACCAACACACAACCAAATCATCATTCATCGTAATGGATTTGCCCACTGTTTTAGCTGAAAGTACCTACTCATGATTGTTAATAATGCTTATAAAAGCAAAAATGTCCCAAACTGATTCAGCAAGATACTACCTAAAATTAATTTAATAGTGGATATGGTCATGTTTAACATATAAGACCTTACAGCAAGTTGTTATATTGTTAAAAGCGAATTGATGAGTCGGAGTTACCCTTCCAAGTGCACCCAAGATGTATTAAATGGTTTTCGGGTCTGAAGATCCTGGTCAAAACATGCACTGAATAAATATCCTTACTTTGAAGATATTCAACCTTCAGTTGAAGCCTTAGTGGATGAGTATTTTCATCTATATGAAAAAAATTTTCAGGGTTGCGACTGAGCAACCCTGAAAAGTTGCATGTAGGGCTGTAGGATCTTCTCTCAATATTTTTACATAATTGGAATGGTTACAGGTAAAAGTATAATGGACAAAACAATGCAAAGGAAAACATCATAATATGAAACACAGAAGAAACCAAGGAGAAAGCATCAAAACTTTAAAATGTTGTATAAAACATTGTCATAGAAAATAAAGCAGTTAAAAAACTTCGCAGTTTTAAAACATCATTATAGAAATTCCTGAAAATACAGCGTCTATAAATCATTGCATGATGTTAACATTGAAAACCTGCTTTCAGAATTTGAAAGTTTTAAATGCATGTTAGCATAATGGGTTTTGAGTACAAAAAAAGAATGAGGAATATTTTTACCTCTATATTTCTAAATTAACTATTAAATGTTTACTATAAAAGCAGGAAGGAAACTTAAACATTAAAAAAAACTGATGAGTAGAAAATTAATGCTACATATAGCTGTTAATATAATTTTAAACTTATGAAGTAAACTCTTAAATATCATTGTGTAATTAATCTTTTTGGTACTTTTCCGTTTCGCCGACGCAAATCTCGCCAAGCAGACTTTATTAGCAACAACATACAGTATACACATAAAAAATATTAAAAAAATGTTAGTCTAAGAATTCTTTTTTTGAAGGCATAAACATTTTAATATCGCTTAAAATTTTATAAAAAGCCATTAAATAAAGACAATAAATTTGTAAAAAGACATTAATTTAAGAATTTACTATGCTTTCATGGTTCAACATCCTGATTCGCCGATTCATCTCACGTAAACTACTCTACAAAAATCTAATGCTCTCAGTAATTATCTACATTAATTTCAAGTTAAATCTTAATTTGGAACACAAGTTTAAATGCAAGAAATACAGTCAAAAGTCGTTAATCCGGACTCGTCGGGACTTTGGCGATTCCGGATTATCGATTTTTCCGGATTATAGATCATCAGTTTAAATCTGGTAAGATGGCATGCAGAAATTACAAAATTAAAAATATGAAACCGTAATTTATGAAATAAAGAACAATTATGATCTAAAGGGTATCAAAATTTACAAAAAGAAAAAGCTTAATATTTATTTGTTTACTTTATTAAACATTTCCTTCAATGTAAGTTGCTTCGTTTCATGTGATAATACTTTCTCTTTAATTCTATTAAACAGACATAATTTCTTTTCTAATTTCTTCTTTTTTAGTTACAAAGTTCCGCTGTTCAAGTCCTATAATTGCTGTGTTGAGAATACCGACTAATTTGTCAATCGAAATGTTTTCGTTTTCAATAACCTCTGGGTCACTTTCTTCACTATCGGAAGCGAATTATAATGACGAGGAACTTGATTTAAATCATATCAAAGACGGAGTACGGAATTATAATCCAAATAAAATAAAAACATCTGCTCTGAAGATAAGGATAGTGTTGACAGATCAACTTCCAATCCGAGGCGTGAAATTCATAACAGATTTCGGATTTCAAAACATACTTTCGCTTTGTAGATACAAATTACATATTAGTAAATATATATTGGAAATTCTATTTGACATAATCTTTCTAATCTATCATAATCTAATAATGACGTTTCTGCCCCCCCTGTGCCGCAGAGTAGCGTGAAATTGATAACACATTTCGGATTTCAAAACATACTTTCGCTTTGTAGTAAATATATATCGGAAATTCTATTTGACATAATCGAAAGTTCAAGCTTACTTTTATAAAATTGCTCTAACAGTCTGCAAAAAATAATAAGCCGGATCCAATTCGAAGATTAAGGAACAACGCAATCTGCAACATTAACTGAATTAGATAACTTTAGCTTAGCGTATAACTCCGTTACACATTAAACGCGCATGCGCACAAACATATTCGCAGCCATAAGGGTCTTACGTGCTCTCGTAAACGCCTGTGCGCATGCGTGAACGCGACGCATGCGCAGAAAGTTTGTAACTTTGAGGTCCGGATTATAGATCATTCCGGATTATGGGTGTCCGAATTAACGACTTTTGACTGTATTTCAATTCGTAAGAATAGCTTACTTAGAAAATTATGTAAAACTGCAGTGCTTTATTTCTTTCGCATTCTCATTAGAATTGATGAATTTAACCCTTGACTTTACCTTTTCTATATTTTCGCCTTCGGGTAAGTGCTGTGATTGCATCCTAATTGACTTAATTACCGAAAATGGCCTTAGACATAAAACTGAACTATCTGATAAAAATTCTGTGTAATTATATGCCAGTATTGAAAGAAACAATCAATCTGATAAGAAAAAGCTGCGAATTGTTTTGAAAATGAGGCGTAAAAGGTATCTTGCGTACCAGCGAGAATATTCCGTTTGGCATCGGTTGTACCATTATTGGCGACTTTATCGCTTGCGCCGGCAAAACAGAAAAGTATAATGGGTTTTGAGTACAAAAAAAGAATGAGGAATATTTTTACCTCTATATTTCTAAATTAACTATTAAATCTTTACTAAAAAAGCGGGAAGGAAACTTAAACATTAAAAAAAACTGATGAGTAGAAAATTAATGCTACATATAGCAGTTAATATAATTTTAAACTTATGAAGTAAACTCTTAAACATCATTGTGTAATTAATCTTTTTTTATAAAATTGTGTTAGTTATTTGTCATGAAAAATGTAGTATAAAAAAGATAGATAATTAATTGCATGAGGTTACCTACATAACAGTTTGTGAATGTTTAAGTGAACAAATGATTAGTTAATTCAAACACCTGAAATAAGAGGTAAAAATTTTTTAAATTCCTTCTTGTGCTCAAAAATCACTATTCGAACTTGCATTTAAAAGAAAACACATGTCTGCAGTGTTATCATCATGCGATCATTTATAGGTGCTTTATTTTTTATGACAGTTTTTTATGCCAATGTTTGAAAACTTCGAAGTTTTTAAGTTTTGTGTGACTGCATTTTACACCACAGAGTTTTAGAACTGTGACGTGTTTTCATTTTGCTTTCTCTCATGATGTTTTATACAGTGGCAATGTTTTCCCCTTGCACTATTTTCTCCACAGTATTTTCATCTTTTTTTTTTTTTTTTTTTTTTGTGTGTGTGTGTGTGTGTGTATGCCATCAATGGAAGCCTCTGTAAAACATATGAAGTGTTGTGAAGCCATCCAGAATATTGCCATATTTGACAATCGCACTTTTACCACTATAGCATAGTGGCCATGTAACTCCTAAAAATATTTTGGTAAAAATATATTTACAGGTGCCACTTGGCGATAATTGGCGGTACATGGACACCTAGTTTGTGCAGCTCTTTGACTTATTATTTTGGCTATGTGTAGTGGCAGTTTTTGATGCAAAAATCACCGCTGCACGAATCCAAACTAACAAATCAAAGAATTGCATGAACTCGGTGTCTATGTACAGATGGACCCACTTTCACTTAAAAAACATCAGAGAATTGCATAAACTAGGCATTGCATATTCCCTTTGTCCATATATACATTGATCTATATTCATTTAAAAAGGTCAAAGGAGCAGCTAACGGAAAATATATAATCGCAATAAACTACATTTCAAATCAAACATTGAAATAACATAAAAAAGAAAATTTATCTTAGCACTACACAAAGGAAATATCCACTTACCTTATTTACGAATTTCCACATCTTCAAACAAACAAAATTCCTTAACAGCATCCAAAAACTTCCTAAAATTATCTGAACTAGAATGTGTATACTGGAGTTGCCACATAAATTCACAAAAATAAGAGTAAAAAATATCCTCTGTAGTGCCGGTATCGTCAGACGTTCGACCTTCCTAAGGCATTTCCTTCTAACAAACAGAACATTTATAATGGCTACTAAGTAAACCTTTATTTACACACCAGTCAATAATGCCTTTTCCCCTTTCATTTCAAATCGTACAGAAACTTCAAATTAATCTTGCCACATTCCGCCATTTTACATTGTAAACCACAATTTTTATTTATGCCATTTTACCTTGTAAACCACAAAATAACAATGTACAAATTACCCACAATCCGACATGCCTTTCCATATCTTTTCGTGTTAATCGAATTGACCGTAATCACACAATCAGTTATGTCATAAGAGGGTTTCCATAGCATTCAACTGCACAGATTACCGTAAATGAAATGGCAACTTGGCAATAAATGAAATAACAACTTGACGATAATCCAAGGGGCACCCTTACAAATCTACTCTAACCAAAATTTTATGTGGCTTGTGAAGATACGTATGTGCTACAAATATTTTAAGATTATAGTTATTTTAAGTATGAATTTGTATTATTTTAATTTTCATTGAAAATGAGCATGACTAATGCACACAGAAATCTATAAAAGGAGATAATAAATTTACAATATATCTTATTCGAAAATTTGAAGATACAGATTTTATTTGTACGTGTGAAATAAATAAGTTCATTTAGGAAATTTTGCACTAAGAATAATTACTTTGTTTGGGAATGTAGTTATATGTGAACATTTTTTTTTATTTTTCACAGAGGAAAACTGACTAGAAAAGATCCTGATTGACCGATGAGCATCTACAGTCCATGAAGGTAATTTCTAGTAATTTTTGTTTAAGGCTACAAACTTTATCAGAATGGAAATGCCATGAAGTATCAAGCTATAATAAGAAATAAAGAAGGTTATAATTATATACTTGCAATCATATGCATTTTTATTTATGCATCAAAGAAAAATTTAAGTAAATAAGAGAAAGAGATTAATTCTTATGATTTATTTTAAAGTTTTGTACTACTTGGTAAGTTTTTAGGTAAAAGTATATTTTAGAGTACACCTTGGCGAAACTTGGCGATTTTTGACGGTACATGGATACTGAGTTTGTGCAATGCTTTGACTTGTTATTTTAGCCTGTCTAGCGGCGATCTTGGCGCTAACAGTTGCCGCTACGCAAGCCAAAATAACAAGTCAAAGAATTGTACAAACTCAATATCCATGTACACATTGACTTATTTTCACTTAAAAAAAAAAAAAAAATCCCCGATTTGCACAAACTATTCGTTATGCCCTCCCTTGAGTTTGTCCATGTACACATCAATATATTTTTACTTAAAAAGTCAAAGCAGCACCCAATTCTACAGTAGAGGCAAACAAAAAATGTACACTGTGCAAAAAAAAGGGGGGAGGCAGTTCTATATCTCCCATTCTTTTGGGCCGATTGACGAAATTCAACTTGCGTCTTTCATGTCTCGAAAGCATGACTTAGGATTAGATTTATATGTAGCATCGTTCCATTCTAACATACGTATTTTGACATAAAATCGGACTTTTACTGAAATAACACAAATTTTTTTCATATTTCGATTCTACGACTCAAATTACACCAAACTAACAAGTTTTGTAAAAATCATACGGGTAGTTTTTAAAAAAATTAGCTCTCAAAATTTTACCTCCTCAATGTTAATTGAGTTTGGTAGCATATATTTATTAAACTCTCTCTTTTTTTAATAAGCTTATTTCGCTCTTCCTTCCACATTTCAAATAAAATTCACCCATTTTTTATGATTTATTTTTAAAATTTGTATTTTTAAACAATTTTTATAAATTTTTCAAAAAACGTTTTGAATAATAATCTATAAAAATTTTACCATAATATTAAAGTAGACATATTTCTAAGCATACCTGCAAAAAATTAGTTTTTTATTCAAAATTTCCAGAAATATACTTGAATTTATATGTTGGCCCATTTTGAAATTTGGCATATTTGTTGAAAGCGATAAAACAGCAAATATGGTTCAGACACATTGCTAAAATTATTTGGAAGTGATGTGACTTTTTTTCCGCTCATGCACAATGTAAAAAGGTAGGAACGAGGTGCCTTTTTTTTTTCCTGCTGCGGTATAATGGAAGGGAAAGGAAAATTGGTTGCCACATGTTAAGACGTTTGCCAAGTGAATTATTCTTGGCGCAAACTGAAAACATTTCATCAAGATAAAATTTTGAATTTTTCTGTAAATTTCACATCAAATTTTACAAAATTTAATATTTAGGCATAACTTGAGTCGTAGAATCGAAATATGGAAACAAAATTTGTATGTTATTTTAGAAAAAGTATGATTTTGTGTCAAAATACTTATGTTAGAATAATGCTATATATAAATACAATATACAGTCAAAAGTCTTTAATCTGGACGTCCATAATCCAGAATGATCTATAATCCGGACTTCAAAGCTACAAACTTTATGCGCATGCGTAAATGCATTATTTGCGCTTATGCATGCGCATAATATGTTTACGCATGTGCATTTAATGTATAATGTTGTATGCTTTATGCATGCACGCGTTGAAAGAAATGTTTAATGAAGTAAACAAATAAAACAAATAAATATTAAGCTTTTTTTTTGTAAATTTTGATACCCTTTAGATCATAATTGCTCTTTATTTCATAAATTATGGTTTCATATTTTTAATTTTATAATTTCTGCATGCCATCTTACCAGATTTAAATTGATGATCTATAATCCAGAATCACCGAAGTTCCAACGAGTCCGGATTAAAGACTTTTGACTGTATATCCTAAGTCATGCTTTCGAGACATGAAAAATGCAATTTGAATTTTGTCAATCGGCCCAATAGAACGGGAGGTATAGAACTGCCCCAGTTTTTTTTTGGCGCAGTGTACCTTGGTGTGTATGTGTGTGTGTACATGCACACGCATATGTACACATACATGAAAATATATGCATACGTTTCTGAATACAATCCTGATAACAGAAGAGTACCTATTTTGGTAAAATATCCTCTCTTAAGAAGCTTTCGAGAAACAGTAACCCTTGAAACAAAGAGCGTATTTACAACACTATGAACGTAGGCTTGTCTCACTTCCAGTCTTTCAACACTTCTCCACTCATTCAGTCATTTCTACTCATGCGTCCACTTAGCTTATGAAAGTTAACAAAATTTTACAATAAATGCTACAATTATCTCTGTTATGTATGAATGAAGAGCAGAGCACCAAATCACTGCATTTTATACCTATGGAGTATTCACAGCATCACATATATATATGATGTCATAGCATCATTTAGATGACACATGTATAATTACTTGTTTGTTTGGGACTATCGCATTATTATTTGATTTTGTACTTTCCGGTTTTGATTTAGTATTTTTGAAAAATCCAAAGAAGCATGTTTATTTATTTAATTTTGAATACCATAGATAAAAAGCATGCTATCGAGCTTTGTATTCATGTTGCAATGCTTACTGGATGAAAACCACATGGGAAATAATAATTTATACCAGAAGAAAGCGTTTATCCATTGAAGTATGAACGATTGAACAATGTCTTGTACCAATTGAACATATCGTTTCACCACAGATTCTGTTATCTCCACAGATCTGTTATTCTGGTATCTCACAACAAAATTTGCTTAATTTGGTGACCCCTAAATGCTTTTATATTTTTGCCAGACATATTTTAATCACTTTGTAAGGCATACTTATGGACTTGTACTTTACTGACATTATAGGACTGTTAAATATGCCCACAATAAATATACTCTGAAGCCAACTGATGTCTATCATTTGTACATATATTTTAAATTTTGTGTTTTTTTATTCTTTGAAGAAATTCCAATTCAATATTGTCTGTACTGATGACCTTATAAGATAAGAATCGAGGGTAAGGTTGATGGTGATTTAACAATCACTTTACTCATTGTACTTAGACTTAACAGTACAATTTAGACTTGAAATTGTATAACTAAATTTTAGTAGAAGGGTGGAGAACTGCACTATTTTTAGTCTTGCATCCTTGTGTTATGCTATTAATATGCGAAATATGTTAATCACACATTACTAACTATAAATTGCCTTTCTTTTGTAGCTTCTGGGAAAAATACAAGAGTCTGAAAGAAATGTGGTCAAAAAAAGGAAATAAGGTTTATTCGTGTATGTTGAAAGCACCAGGATCTTTATCATGATTACCTAACAAATATTTGCCAAAATTCAAAACTATATGTAGAAAAATTATATTAAGGTAAGAACACACGTGGATTGTAGAGACTTAATTTTAATCATTTCCATTGTAGTTATTTGTTATGTCTATTAAAATTTTAACTATTAAAATATGTATAGAGTTGCTGCAAAGTGCTTTAGGTAGATAAACCTGAAGCACTTTGCTGGTTTGATTAGATAATTAGAAAAGCTTTCTTTTAAGAAATAAGAATGTCTAATGAATTTTTAATGAGAATAAACATGGAAGTAAGTGAATTCAAAGTAATTTTCTTCTTCCCTGCAGTCAAGATTAAAGTAATTTTTCCCCCAGATCAATTTTAATTATTTTCAAATTGATAAGTTTTGAAATGGAAATAATTTTCATTCTTCATCATTGGATTTTTTTTAATAATAAATTAAGATTTTTTGTTGCATTTGCAGTTACTTTGATGTTTCTTAACTTTTTCAAGTGCATTTATGTATTCTCCCTTGTCAAAAATGTAAATGTTATTACTGCAATAAATAAAACTATTTATTCCAAAATAGTAGATAAAAATGATATAATTATTCCAGAAAAAGCTTAATATGTATTATGAAATGAACCAAAATACGTAGAGAAAATAATAGATTATCGATAATATCGGGTTTTAATGAAAGTTTCCTGCCACCGCAAATATCATCAAACAGTTTGCATTGATGTGTTTAATCATATTTTGTTAAACGATTTTTGGCATTTGAAAGAAAGAGACATGCTTTAGAACACTGTGATGTGAAATTTGTAAAAAAAATATCATTAAGTACAGGGTGTCTGGAATCGAACTATCACACTACTACATTAGAACCATCATTTACTTAAAGTTCTGTGTAAAATGTCACTACAGAATGTCACCAAATCATGTGTACAGTTTTAGATACTAATGTTGTATCATATAACACTGTGAAGGTTTAGTACCGAAAGTTCAAAAACAAAGACTATGACATTCAAGAAGCAGAGCACTCTGGCTGACCTGCAAGAACTTGAGGAAGGAGATCAGTATACAATCACTCGAGAGCTTGCTGATGAGTTAGACATTAGTGCCACATCTATTAGTCATGCTATGCATCGTATAAGCTTGATGTACTAGTTCAATCGCTGGATGCTGCAAGAGCTGACTCAATCAGATAAAGACAAATGAGTTCAGGCCTGCATTAATCTGCTTGAATATCAATGCAAGGACAAAATTCTGGACCGGATTGTCACTTGTGATGAAAGGGCCGAAAAGTGGGTTGGTCTGCGCCCAGTGAGCCCGTCGGCAGCATCATGGAGTGCAGTTTGACTAACATATAAAGATTATGCTTTGTATCTGGTGGGATTGCCGTGGTATTTTCCACAAAGAGTATCTGGGAAAAGGCAAAACCCTTGACAGTAAGGTGTACAGCAAGATACTAGTCCGTGTTGATGCTGCTATCAAGGAAAACCGTCGAACTGGCTTCCGGCACAAAAGGATAATGTTCCATCAAGAAAACATGTGTCTGCATTCATCGGCTGGACTTTGTATGGACTCGAATGGTATCTTTTGCCACACTCGCCACATAGCCTCGACATCGCTCCTTTGGACTTCTACCATTTTTTCACACCTGCAGCTACATCTTGCTGGTGCTATCTTCCATTCTGCATAGGATGTATGAAAAAAGGTTGATCTATTTTTGGACTCATGGCCACCAAGTTTCTGGGCCGAAAGTTTTGAAAAACTACCAAAACGTTGGCAGAAAATCATAGATATAGGTGGTAATTACTACTCCCACTAAAGGTTTTGCTTTTTAAATTTTTTTCCTAACTTTATTAGGGATGTTTTTAGCAGAAAACTTTCATTACAACCAGAGTATACAGTATTATAAATAAATATACATAGGTCATCATTACAATGCTGTGAACAAAGATACATAGAATAGAACTGTCTAATATAAATAATGTTTCTATTTACTTTTACTTACACTTTTACTTGTAATAAAGGAAATGCAAGTATAAATCTTTAAAATAAATTTACCTTGGAAATATACTTCAGGTAGAATTACGACAGAGTTATTATATACATAAAATTACAAAGTGAGAAATTAATTTCTGTGCTAAATGTCTCCAAGGACAGTACTTAAATTTCTTTTAATGTAGTGCACTTGCAGTGTTTTTTTTTAAGTAGCCTTGTTGATAACATTTTTACAATGTTGACTTCTTAAGTTATTCTTAAGTTAAATACAGCATAACTTTAATAATATTAAGACTTAAAAAATTTGATATACTACAAGAGTAATATAATACATGGCATATAACACTTGATTTAAATAAAGCTGATAAGAAAATTTCCGTCTTTTTTTGGGGGGTGGGGAAGGTTATACTGTACAGCTACTGTATAATACTAAATATTAAGTCCATCACCCATCAGTACAATCATTAATAAATTCAAGGATAAAGTATGATGACTTTTCTATCATTTGTTAACTCGACGGTTCAAGACAATATCATATTGAATTTTATTCATGAAATTGACTTTGGAAACTATCTTCAGACTTTAATGAGTTTATCATCCTAAAATGATCCATTATTGGGCATTCCAAAATGTATTGCTTATTGCTTAGTATTTGCATTGTTTGTAAATTTGAAAAAAGTTTAAAATTTTCCACGCTTAGGTACTGCTTGAATTTTAAGTTAATCTGTCCACAGTCATTTATTTAGACAAGTAGAAAGATATGGTATGCGAATCTTAATTTTTTGTCTATTTAATCACTTTTTGCGATGTTTCAAGGAGTTTGTTCACATTTATTTCAAAATTTCTTTCCTTGATGTAGTCTTTGTTGTCTCATCTGCAATTTCATTTCCCTTTATTCCTGCATGAGCTTTTACTAGTTATAGTTGTATATTAATTTTTCTTTATGATTTATAATGTTTCTTTTAACTCATGAATGTATCTATTGCAGATTTTGCAGCTTTTTAGTGCTTTGAGATTATGCTTTGATTAAATGTATAAATATTGACTTTTTCCAAATAATCTTTTAGCACTGTGTTATCCAGTGAGAAGATGGCTTGTCAGAGTGCTGTTATTTCAGCTTTAGCTGTGGCCTAATTTTTCTAAATTTAGCATCGACAATTTGTTTTCTGATGAATTAATGAGTTGAACATTTTTAGTTGCAGTTTGCTTTGATAATTAATAACAGAGTTTTTCAGGAGTTAATAAGACTTTTTATGTATCAGTGATAATAACTGATTGTAATAAAATGCTTGATAACATCCTGCATATTGTACTTGACAGATAGAAACCTTTTATAACTATGGAAAATATGTTGCCAAATTATTTTTAGTTAGATTTTTAAATATCTTGAAGTATTAAAAATTTTAATATTTTTAAGTGCATTTGAAGGAAAAGAAGGAAAAAACCAAGCATTTAAGAGTTTTTATATTGTAGTCATTTTTCCTAATTTCAGCTTATTCTTATGAGCAGGATTTTGCACAATATCCAATGCTTGCTATATATACTTATTTGAAGATTGATATTTACTATGAAGTAAAATATTCTTTAATCTCTTAGTTCAAAATATCTTCATTATAAAATCATATTTTATCAGTGTGATTGTTTATCTACAATAAATTTGTAAAGTTGTAGAGACATTAGGATTTTTGAAAGCAAGAGAGATGAAAAATAAGCAACTGCCTTTGCCGGGAATCGAACCACGGACCTCTGAAATACCGGCTCAGTGTGCTACACCATGAAGGCCCGTTAGGAAGGCAGAAGAAATACGTTATATACTCCCCCTTTTAAAGGGGGACTAAGGTTTTAGGGGACCTAGTCGCCAAATTCTAGGTGAGGAGAATCATCATCCAGCACCCTTTTAGTTTGGGCACCACTGTAGAGACATTAGGTATTTTTGAAAGCAAGAGAGATGAAAACTGAGCAACTGCCTTCGCCGGGAATCGAGCCACGGACCTCTGAAATACTGGCTCAGTGTGCTGACCACTACACCACGAAGGCGCGCTAGGAAGGTGGGAGAAATACCTTATAAAGTTACATTTAATTTTGAATAATATGTTATTTTTCTTTGCATTATGTTTTTGTGGATTGTTTTTGAAGTAAATATTTCTCTTTTTTTTTTTTTTTTTTTTTTTTTAGCTACATTCTGCTATATATAGTTCAAGCTCAAGTTATTGTACTTTGCATCTGAGTAAAAAGTTCAGTTTAAGTTTTCAAAATGGCAGCTGTTGGCCATCAACCACGTTTGCAACCTGGAAAACAAAATGAGAGAACCAAACAACCTGTTACTCAGTTAGAATTCCATCAGGCTATGAGTGACTTTAAAACTATGTTTCCCGAGATGGACGAAGATGTTATTGAAGTTGTTCTTCGAGCAAACAATGGAGCTGTTGATGCAACAATTGACCAACTGTTATCTATGGCTACGGATAATGAAAATGAACGTCTTCGAGCGGAATTAGATGCTACTGAAAATGATGAGCTTCCTCCAAGCTATTCACCTGCTACACCACCACCATCTTATCATCAGGCTGTACCATATGCACAGAGTCCCGGTAGATTAGCTAGTTCACAGTTAGGTCGCAAAATTGGTGGAGTTTCACCAGCTTTAATGCGACATTCTCAGTTTTTAAGTCCAAAGTTACCTTCTCCATCACAGCATGCAACTTCTACTGTAGCACCAAAGTCTACATCTTCTCAGAATACAAATAAAACTCTTTTGAAATCTGATTCAGTTCCACTGCAGCATCAAAAAAAGTGGAATCCTCCTTTAGTTGGGCCATTACCTTCCTCATTTTTACGTTTAGATGATCGTCACCATAATTCTAGAAAGGGAAAGGTAAGGTACTTTTTATTTTTAATATTTATCTGAACTGTAAAATTGCTTCCTGAATTAAAATTATGCTTTACTATTGATTCTACATGCCAGTATGTGATGTGCAACAGTAATGATAGATAATTAGTAAAGGCTCATATATATATTGCAAAATGCGAGTTCTTTATGTATTTTTACAGGGCTAACATATATTTAAGATAGATTTTTATTAAAGTAATAATAATAAAAGTATACATAGGTGTTTTTTTTTTTTCATTTACCCTCAGAAAATGAGTTTTATTTTGTTTATGAACATACTTTTTTCAAGCAGTTTTGAATTTTTTTTCAGAAATATGATAAATGTTACGTAGAGTTATGACATTATTAAACCAAAGTCTCCTAAAGCCTTAAAATTTTTTGTACTTTTCCTTGAGTTATTTAAACTAGAGTTTCGTAAACTTTTTAGTTTGGGGACACCCATAATATTTACGAAAATTTTTTTGGACGCCAAAAGCATCGCGCAAATCCCACACACTCATGAGTGAAACTGTCAGTTTCTTCACTTGTAATGTGATATACTATTGCAGTTTTAAGTCATTAACTTTAATTTTTAAAGGAAAATAGACATTTCTATTATAAAAAAAATGCATCAAAACTTTTTCTTTCTTTTTTTGTCTGTGTTGCCTTATCTTTATCTATTTTCAGATGCATTTTGTAAAAATATTTGGGAATTGTAATTAATTATAATAATAAGTATGAAAATTTCTAAAATTTTTGGCGATTCCCTACTGCAGGTCCTAAGACCCCAATTGGGGTTGTGACCCGTAGTTTAAGAAACTGATTTAGAGTATAATGCATGATGTGAATTTCTATAAATATTTAAATTCTTTTGATTATGTTGTTGCTTTTTATTTATTGTTGTGATATTTCATTTTGTTTTATTTACTTATTTATTAGATTTTTGAATTTAGGGTAATAGTTAGAGTTTGTTTTGTGTATAATTGAATTTATAAAGTCACGTGGTTAATGATGTTTTGGAAATTTTGGGAAAATATGTTTTTGAAGTCAGTTTTGGAGTTCCTTTGAAATAGTGGCATCGCACAGCATGATAACTTCTTGTTTTCTTATTAAAATCTTCTAGTTTTTAAGATTTCAAGGTTGGAAGCAAAGCCATATAAAGATAACTCCATTCACCAGGACAGACCAGTTAATTAATTAGTTCTGAGTTCATCACAGAGATTGTTGTTCAGTTGCATTTTAGAGCTTAGTCTGTGAGTGATATAAGTAATTTATGACATTTTTCATGTGCTTTGTCTTATCCACCTTTTGCTGGAGTTATTTACAGCTGTTTATTTTGCTGTGTATCATTATTAATTATAGTAAATGATACTTTCCTGTTATGCGCTTGACATGCATTTTGGCGGAATTTTTTTAAATTGTAAACAATTTCTAGTTATAAGAAATAGTTTATAGATTATACTTTATAGATAGCAATTAATAATTTACAGGTAGCAATTTATTGTTACAAATTACATTCATTATTACAAAGAATTTATTTCATTTTAAATTACTAAAAAACATTAGTTGAAATGAATCAGTACACTAGAGAAAGACATAAATTTATAAATATCAGCTAGTATGGCAGAAAACATTTTGGTCTCTGGATGTAGGTAGTGCCACATGAATTTTAAGTAACAGTGAAAGAGTTGATGGGTAATGCCTCTTGTCTGCCATTAAGCCTCCTGTTTATTAATATTACTCTTATTATTACAACATGTTTTTAAAATTAAGCCCAGGATAAATGAAGTCATTGATTCTTTGCAAATTATTCTGATGACTGAGGAGTGAGACTGAGGGAGGTCTTCAATCAGACACCAGTCACATCATCTGCTTCTGTGATTGGCTTATTAGTTCTGACAAACATAAAAACAAAATTGTCCTTTGTAAATAAAATGTCAGGCGGCAAGTCCACAAGGGACGCTTTGATGCATTGTTGAGTAACTTATTTGCTTCACTATGACGGATCTTAAGAGCAGTTTTAGTGAGTAATGCTTCTTTCATGATGATAAGTTTCAATAGCTCTTGTATTTTGCCACTTATTGAATATTTTGGTACTATTCAGTTAGAGTGGCATCAGTTAAAAATGAAGAAAAAATGAGAAGAAAACAATGCTTCAACAACACGCCAAATATCGTGGCTCGAGAATTTAAAGTTCAAAATATTATGGGTTGAGATTTCTAGTTTTCACTTGAAATACTGTCAGTCATTATTTTGAGTATTTTTTATTTATATTTGAAATATCGGGGCTTGAGATTTCTAGTTCTTGTTTGAAATATCATCACTCAATTTTTTTTTGCCATATTTTGCCATTTTTTTAATATGAAGGATTACACAATTTCGCAGTTACCTAATGACAAAGAGGCTGTCATAAGATTCTTTCAGGACAAAGGAATAAATCATAGCAATAGACTTAGTTCTCAAAAGCATCTGATGAAGGTAACTTTTAACTCAAACAAACTGCTGTGTAGTGTTGTTACGTACATTCTAGCTGTGAAAAAAAAAGGACTGAGAGCCAAAACATGGTTTTGAAAGCTCACGTCTTTCTTTCCACAATGGTGTTCTTTCTATCTATCTGTAGTGTCAAGAACTGACTTCGACTGAATTTTGCCAACTTCAGTCAGAAATTGGTCGTAGTACAACAATAAATTGGAATAACTACTTTAAAGTCTTAAAAAAAAATAAAAAAAACAATGTTGGACATGTGGTATTCAACAATGGTAACATAACAACGGTTATTCAGGGTTTATCCTGGGAAAGCAAAGAATGTTTCTGATCATCATTCCCAATCATTGTGTTACACCGCTGATGACAGCTATTCGGGAAAACATTGTGAATGGCAGCATTATATTTTCAGACTGATGGAAAGGATATAAAAAAGAGGAATTAAGAAATGCTGGGTATGAATATTTCACCGTGAACCATAGTTATAATTTTGTAGACTGTGAAACTTGATGCCATACACAAATTGTGGAGCAATTATTGTTAAAGGGAGAAATAAGCGTCAGCAGGGCACTGTTCACCACCTATTTGGTAGAATTTATGTGTCGTTGATTATATTCAAAAACTGAAATTTTTTCTGCAATATTAAATGATATTTGTAATTTTATGCCACTTGTTTAGATTAAATTTTGCTTTGTTTTGTTATTGTTTATTTATGCGCAGAATAGTGTAGGTTAAAAAATTAAAAAGAAAAATTTACTTTCTTTAAGAATTGAGAAATTTTTTTTAAAAAATTTAGTTTTTAATGGAACTAATTTTTTAAAAGTTTTTTTTAACTCTATTATTATTTCATGATTTTATACTTGGCAACAATTGGGGCGAAAGGCTGCTCGTTTTTAACTGATGCCGCTTTAAAGGAATAGTACGAATATTTTTATATTGTTACGTTATTTTCTTTCTTCATGTTCGTATGGGGTTCATGTGGATTTGGAGTGAATAGTGACGACACTTGATGAAGTATTGAAACACACTTTATTGGCTGGTATTAACCAGGACAGCTCCTCCAAGGACTCCAAGTCTCGTTTACAATCGTTGAACTGTTATAAACCCAATGACATGATCAGCGACACAGCTTTCAGGTTATCAAGCTATCATGGGGGAGACAGCTAGTGTACGCTCCCGACTCTTCTTGGTCGTTCTCGGAACTCCACATACTCTCGAGACTCTCCACATTACAACTCGCGATGCACTCGACGACACACAGAGCACAGCTCCCGATTCTTCGGTTCTGTTGTTCCCCGAGCTCAACACTTTCTCTCGGCGATGCACTAACCGTGATATATAAAGAGATTCTTTCGATGCATTCAACGCCCCACTCGGCACTCTCTGCCGGCTGTCAACTTGATTGACTCTGCACGGACTGACTTGCTAGACGAGGCCCCAACTATCTCACACTCACTCTCCGCATATCAGCAGGGCTTATATAGTTTTTGGCTTGTGTTTGAGAACATTCTGGGATAAAATGGTAAAAATTCGTTCCAGAAGGTTCTCCATCCGTTCATGGCACATCGCCAATTTTATCGCCAAATGGACAATTTCTTGCTAAATGTGGTAACCTTGCCGTTCCTTGCCATTTTATGGCAACCCTAAACCTGCTTTGCGGTGAAGCTATCTTACTGCACCTGGACATTTCATATCAATATGTATACTTTGCCAGTTATTGCAAAATGTGAGAAATATGTAGGAAAACAAGTTTATAAATGAAGCATTAAACTGGTTCCATTGATGTCAAATTCAATTGCTCTCTTTTGTATATCTCTGCTTGGCTTTTGTTGCAGTGAAAAAGTTTTTTGAAAGCATTGTGAACGTTTGCTGCTGCTGAAATATCAGCAAGACCTGTCAGTGGTGTCCATTATGGAATGGATGTCACTAAGTCCAACAAACTACTCACATTGTCCTAACAAATTAACTAAAAATTTTAAAAAAGTGAAAATTTTAACATAGAACTTGAAAAAATAAAGCCAAGTTAAAGAAACCTTGCATAGAGAAAGCGCAAAAAAATTGGTGAATTGATTGCATATGGCTAATAAAATATGCATGATGGGAAAATGAATAAAGAAAACCCAAAAAGCTAATTGGTTTGCTGGGATTTAAAAGAAATCAGGCCAAACTGTCAACTATTAATAATATTATCCATTCAGATGGCAGTGGGCAATAAATGAAGTTTTGTCTAGGGATGTTAGCATGAGGTTTACAAAATGTTTGTAAACTATGTATGTAACTCTCTTAACTCGTTCAGTAAATCTGTAGAGAATGCTTGCAAAAGAAATTTGACCATTTCCAGAATATTTAACAGTCAAGGTATTTAAGAAGAATTTATGAAATGTATGTCTTAAATTAAGATTTTATTTCATTGGAAGATGGATTTTCTCTGCTCATTTTTTTTACAAGAAATGTCAGAGGTAATTTTATTTAGTGCTGTCTAGAATTAAAATTTTTGTCAAAAGCTGAAAAGTACTTGGTATTGGTGGGCTGTGTTTGAATTTAGGTCTGTGTATGAGTTTATAAACACACACACACATTGGTCAGTTGTTTTAGGATGACATATAACATTTAATAGTTAGAAGGGAAATTCGGCATGACCTTCACGGGTCATGTGTGAGGGGTTTGTCTTTATTAGTAAGACGAAAACAATCACTACATGGACAAAGCCGTTTTAAAATTTAGGGAAGCCTCATTTTTCTAAAACCCTTTGAGGAAGGGGAAACTTATGCAAATATTTTTTTAATTTTCAGAACGTGGCGTAGAACACTAATGAGCAAAATACATGAGGAAATATAGTGATTTTACTACTCAAATTCAAGCTCACCATGACCCCTCCCCCCCAAAAAAAAGAGGAAACTAAAGATTAGAAGCATGCTGATTTGTTTATTTGATGACCAGTAGTTGTACAAAAAGAATTTGTGGCTCTAAGCCAAACAGTGAACTGACAATTTTACTGAGAATTTCTTGAAAGACTTGGTAAGAATTATGCATGTGAGGCCAAGTATCAAAGACTAGCTGGATGCTGCATTGTGACTATGCACTTTATCACACTGCATTTAATTTTAATGAGCTTTTGGCAAGTAAAAATATCTTTGTGGCTCCTCGGCCCCCTTTTTTCCTCAACTGAGTCCATGTGACTTTTTTTTTCTCTACCTTGAAACAAAGGACATCCTTTCAGGACACTGGAAAACATTAAAATGACCTCAACTGGCCAGCTAAAGGTAATTTCAGTATCCAAATTCCAATGTTGCTTATGAAGAATGGAAAGATCCCCTTCAACGTTGTGTGGTATCCCCACTTTGCTTTGAAGAAGACCAAGATTATAATTTTAATTGAATAAAAATTATTAAAAAAAAACAGTCTGAATGCTTTATATACCATCTTGTACATGCAATTGGTGTATTTTTTATGATTGTATATTTCATGAAATTTTTGCCCTTGAATGCAACAATATTTTTTAACGTACCTAATGCAAATTGTTCTTATTTATATGAGCACAGAATTGTGTGAAGAAGTAAATACTTGCATAAATGTACTTAAAAATAACGTGTTAGAACATCAGGGTTTTTGATATTTATTTGATTTTTATTACAATTTGCAGTTTATGTCTGTATTGAGTTCTGCCATACTACAAAAACGCATGCAAGAAAATGAACGTCAGCGGAGAAACACAATTGGTGCAGAGGACCCAGAGTTAGCCCAGTATTTGGAAGATGAACGAATAGCCCTGTTTTTGCAAAATGAGGAATTTGTCAGAGAGCTCATGGGGAACAAAGAATTTATGTCGACTCTAGAAAAAGGTTTTTCTTTTTATGTTGTATTTTTTCTTTTTTGTTTATATATATGAATATTTTGTATTTGGCTCTTATTCAGAACTGAGAGCTATGGTATGTGCTAAGATAATTTTGATAGAAATGAGTATAGATTGCTTTGGTTGTTGTTGTAGCTATGGCTGGATAACTCATGTTTTTATTTCTTGTGAATTCTGTCTAATTGTCTCGTGGAACATAACTTAGTTATTGAAAAAAAAAAAGAGTTAATCAAACATGAAAACATTTATCTGCTGTCTGTATATTTAACTAGTGAGATGTGTGCTTGCAGCTTAATGTAATATCCAGAAACTAATGAAATTTTGGAGGAAAAAAACTTAATTTTTCTTTCTGTGTTATACATTGAAAATTCAATAGATGCAAAGTAGGGTAACAAACATTTATTGGCAAATTATTACCATTTTTGATGCCTGTCATAGCCATAGTTCTAGATAAGAAACAAGTAATAAATGTATTTACAGAAGAGCTCTTATATTTTTTTAATTTTTTTTTTTTTTTTTTTTTTTTAGATACAGCATGTAGTGGCAACATGACATTGCAGTCTAAACCATGCCATAGTAAGTATTTTGTACATTTATTAGTTTGATTATGCTTTGGAAATTTTTAATTACATGTTGGTTATTAATTATTAAAGCTTAGAGATTGCATTTAGATAATTTAAATTTTCTTGGGAGAAATAGGTAATGTTTGGATCCTTTGACTCATTTGGATGCTTTTAAAATTATTCTGTTATATATATATATATATGTATATATACCTTAATCAACATATTACTTGCAATTAGTTTTGAATTTTATTTCTAAATATTCTAGTGATAATATTGTTTATTTAATGTTTACACTTTTTTTTACTTATGTTAAAATTTGCCACCGGAACCACAGTATCTAATCTAATTTTTAGTGTAAGCACTGAGAATTTTAATTTGTTTTCTAAATTTTGAAGCTCAATGCACAAAGTTCTTGATTGACCACAAAGGTCTTTTTTAGTTTGTTCCCTTTTTCTTTAATTATATATATATGTGTGTGTTATGTTGTAGTTTTTGCAAAAGATGAAACCAATTCACTTTTAAGTCCTGACTGAAATGTTGTGGAGAGATTTAGTTCTCACATAAATAAGATGCATTATAAAAGATAGCTTAAAAGTACTACCTAGATGGAGAGATGAAGTTGCAGACAAATGTACTGAGCTCAACATATAACTTATTAATTTCTTATGATATCCTTGATTGATGCAACACTGGGAGTACTATTAGTGCCACACAGTTTCTGTATATGCAGCTTACATTTTTAAATAGTAGAAAAATGCAGCTTAGCAAAGACACATGATTTAGATAGCAAATGTAGATGACAAAAAAGGATGTTTAGTTAATTGCAGGAGTATTTATAAGCTTGGCTTCTTTGGTTTAACTCTCTAAAGCCGGCGGTACAACTGTTGTACCACGAAATTTACTTGCTTTTAAGGCGGCTATGGTAAAACTGCTGTACCAGCCTTTCTTTCCCCCTTTTAGAGTAACCGTTTATCTTTAGAATCTCTAGGTGGTCCAGTTTCCTGTGTACAGTTTCCTTTCTAAAGCCGGCAGTACAACTGTTGTACCATGAAATTTACTTGCTTTTAAGCTGGCTATGGTACAACTGCTGTACCAGCCTTTTTTTTCCCCTTTTAGAGTAACCGTTTATCTTTAGAATCTCTAGGTGGTCCAGTTTCCTGTGTCAGAGCAGCCCCTGGCTATACATTGTGTTCGTTTCTTATCTGGTTGGCTACGTTTTGGCAAAGACGTCTCGTGCCAATGTACTTGAAAATAAAACAGATGCTGTCTCTCTTTGAAACATTAGAGCATTTTCTCATGATTTCAGTGTAACTTTTTTCCTAGCATTCTTATTCAGTTCTTATTATGGCACCTTGTTTCAAAGGTCTCAGTCAGGACGAAATTAATAAGTTGCTAATAGATTTAGAAGGGGAAACTTTTGTTGACGCAGATTCGCACTGTTCAGATACAGAAGAAATACGTTTTAATCAATCTTTTGATGAAGATAAAGTTGCTGATGACTTCAAAAGCAATGCTAATAATTTATTTGAATACTTGCTTTTAAGCTAATAATTTATTTGAATGGAGACAACCAAATGAGCATGACAAAGCTAACATATTGTCCTTTGTTGGTAATCTTGTTATAAAGACTGATTTTTCGAAAACTCATCTTGCTGTTCATTTTTTTTAAATTTTCAGATGAATTGTTTAAAACTTTAGCCAGAAAAACTAATCGATATGCTTCTCAATCTTACAGTTACGGCCAAATATAAGCGGAAAAAGAAAACATTTTGTTTTGAAAATATTCTTGGCTAATCGTTTTAATCA